TCAGTTTGATTTGTCCCTGCCCGCCCACCCGGGCTTCGGGCATGCTTTGCGAAGGAGCGATCCGTTCTCGAGCAAGTGAAGCGAACCTGAAAGTTTTAAACCAAACTTTAAGGTTCCCTTGAATCACCGGATCGCTCTTTGACTTTTCCACAGACGGCGGTGGGCTGTCTACGGTCTCCTTGAGCCTACACATAACGGAGTGAAACATAGTGAGTTATGCTCCCGAAGGGACTACACAGAAAATTGAAATGTTTGTTACGCCCTCTTCGATTCAAGTCCTTTCGACTTGACTCGAACTTCAAACACTTTCTGCTTTCATTTTTCACAAGCTCCATTCGAGCGTCTCCATTGTCACACGCTCAATAGAGCCATATCAACAGACATATCTTCTGTCATCATCTTCTTCCTTCAGTGCTTGTCGTTGATAACGTCGAAGGTCCTGTCAGGAAAATTGGCGCTCTCAGCAGTGAAACATACTACACTCCTTTCCGAAACTAAACACATGCACGCTCTCAGTTTTGCATCGCGAGGTCGCGGTTCTCGGCAAAAGAGTTCTTCCGAACTTTGCGTGTGGCTTTTCTGCCCTGTACTTGTTTCGTAGTGCTCGTTGTGCCTTTTCGTAGCATGGCACATAGCTTTTGCCATCGAAACTTTTGGCGATTTTGGCTTCGCCCTCATGTTGTGGCGCGGGCTCCACATTCGAATTTTGCCCTTGGGCGCTCATCGCCCTCTTTGCTACTACTCGGTGTCCCTTAGGTCCTTTTCCGAGTAACTCTGCTTTGCTGGGCTTCCCATAGCCCTGTGATCTTTCTCTTTCTTCTCCTTCTTTTGCTTCTTGTCCTTTTTCTCCTTCTTTTCCTTGTCTTTGCTCTCTTTTGTCTTCTTTGGCATCTTCTTTTCTTCTGGCTTTGCCCTTGTGCTTTCCTCACCCCACTTGGGATTCGGAATGACTAAGCCTTCCGGCGTTGTAAAAATATTCGGCTTGGCGCTTCCGCCGGCAGAGCTCTTCGGCTCCTTTTTCTTTTCTTCTTCAGCTTCAACATCAATCACCTTTCCATCTCCCTTTGCTTTCTTCACATTCTGCTTCTCTGGCTTGCTTGGGTCTATCCCGGTGGTCTGTTCAACCAACACTTCTGGATGGTGTGATTTCCCCATCCATATGCAACTCTTTTCTTGTTCGTCTCCGGATCGAAGACATTGAAACCTTTGCTTTCCTTGAAACACAGCTTGCAGAACACCCATGCTCCTGCAGCTCTTTTCACTTCTCTTGTCAACATCTCTGCTTTCAAGTCGCGCGCTTCGTCCAACATGTGTGGACAATCAAATGCTCTATGCGCATCTGATCTGCAGTGGTAACATTTTCCACCGGTCTCGCGCTCTTTCCATTCTTTCTTGTAATCCTTCGTCAACCATTTGTCAGCAACTCCTTCCAGTTCTATCCTTTTTCTCCTGAGGGCTTTCAATCTCTTCCTCCTTTTCCTTTAGGATAGTTGGCGCGGTTTTCGCCTCAGGCTTGATCTTT